TTGAAACTGAAAAGTAAAGCTTGAATTAAAATGGATGCAAGGAATTTAATTGAATAAAAATAAGGTGATCAAACAATTGACGGAAAATTAAATGAGAATTTAGAAAGAGAAAGTATAGTCCAGGATTATGAATCTGTCACTAATTTTTAGTATTTGTGATTTAGTTAGTCAATTAGAATTGAGGGTTCGTTCTAGACAAAAATATGACTATTCCGTATGGCGTCCAGAATAAGTCACGTACTTTAACTATTAATCAATTAGAAATTATTAATTTAATAGTTAAAATCCATTAATCACAAAAGAACTACGGAAACCCGATTTAAGAACCAAATAGATAATCTAACAAGACAGTTCAATTATCTATTCTTTTATCCAAAAGAGCTCGAATCAATAGGCATGGCATGTACTCTATTAATCCACTCAATCAACTTAATTAATCATGCTAAAATTGGCCAGAAATTAACATAACAAATTAAGCGAATAAGAACAATGGATAAAACTCAATCAATTGACTTAACTAAAATCACAATTCATACTAAATCATAGCAACTTCATCAAACTCCTGGACCTAAAGAATTTAGCTACTCATACTAATGTATAAAACTATCAAAACGAAATGGAATAGGGAGTTCTTGTTGATCATCTTTACGATCAACAATAAACAACTTCTGCCAATTCCCAAGCAATAAAACTAAAGCAAGTTTAAGGAGGAAATAATGTAAAGAAAGTCTGGAACACAGCTGAATCAAACCGGGACTTTTCTAGAGGAAGAATTTCTGAAATTTGTGATTTTCACGATCAAGAAGCATCAGAACCGCTGCCCTCCTCTGCACTGGACAGAACTTCCAGCCAGTCAGATTAGAAGTCAAGCGACGTCCTTCCCGAACTCCGGTTTGCTCCCCTAAACCTCTAGGCGCAAGACCAAAATCCACCTATTCACTCGGCTATTGAACAGCTTCGAAAACTGCCCGGTCGTTTCTGCTGCGTCGCTTCCTTCCAGCAGACCGGCTTATTCTCCGCCAGATTCCTCCTTGCTGCCTTAATCGATCTCCCAAGCGAAGAATAGAGAAGACCCTTAAACCCTCTCCAACTTCCTTTGTTTATGGGTTCTTTTTTTTCTTGGACTTGGGTTCTGGTGCGTGAGTATAACGACCCACGTTTTTTCCCAGAAGTGCAGCCCCTTCTTTTCTTTTGTTTGATTTTGGAAATAAGCCCAATTTGCTTTGAAAAATTTGCAAACAGTCCCTGGACTTGTAACTCCAATTAAGTTGACACTGTTTTTCTCAATTCAGCCCCATTCTCAAATCCTTCCATTAAAACCCCTGCACTGTAAAATTCATTTTTAACACAAAATATAACTCAAACCTTTTAATTAGGCAAATAATGAGCTTAGAATTATAATAAAGTAATCTAAGAATGAAGCACAAATTCTAGCTCATCAAACATGGCAGATATCCTTCAAATGTATTAGCGGACTTCTTTTGTAAGTTTTCTTCTTCACGGTTGAAGTTGAACACCATCAAGGGGAGTTCTTTTTTAAGGTATTCTTTTATCTCCTCAAATGCTTTATAAACTTAGGTTTTGTAATTGTGTCCTTTTAGTTCCTCTTTACATTTTTAACACCGCTGAGATTCTAAAACATGGCAAATATCCTTCAAATATATTAGCGGACTTCTTTTGTAGGTTTTCTTCTTCACGGTTGAAGTTGAACACCATCAAGGGGGAGTTCTTCTTAAGGTATTCTTTTATCTCCTCAAATGCTTTATAAACTTAGGTTTTATAATTGTGTCCTTTTAGTTCCTCTTTACATTTTTTACACCGCTAAGATTCTGTCCATGGCCACATACAGATAGTTACTTTTATTAATATGTAATCCTCTTTACTGACACCCGTACGAAATAACAGTTAGTTGCATGTTAATTGCATGTGCCAGTGTCTGGTTAATGTGTAATTATTGATCAATGGACTGTTACATTAGGGTTTGAGTAGGGTTAAATTCAAATTGTTATGGGGGTGGAATAATATTATATTCGTATCGGCCATACGAACACAAGAACAAAAATTCAGAATATTTCCAAACGACTTCACCTTTAAGAATTATATACTCAATTTAAGCCAATCTATATTACAACTGCAAGAATATTTAAAGTCAACGTGAATGCACTAGCAGTCTAATGGTCCTCTCTCCACCAACCAAATAATAAGTTTTAACCCCCACCCTCCCAAAAAAGTAGTAGCTTGCTCTTTTCACCAGTAGGTCATAAGCCAATAGGTGTTATATTGGCTTATGACATATTTGAGGCATTCTCCTTTCAACTACGACCTTTTATTATTTTATTTTTTTACCAAGATTGTCATGTGTTTTTTGAACATTTTATGATGCTAGGTTTGGTAGATTGAATTACTCCAACTGTCTTTATTTTGTTTTCTCACATATTTTGTTGTTTATAAGTTCAATTGATTTAGATTATGTGCATTCTATAGGGATAAACCTTATTTTTTAAAACTGTAGTTAAGTTTTCTGGGTGTTATTTGAAAGGGGTTGTTTTCTTTATTAAAGGTTGTAAGTTGTAACAACACCTAATATCAAGTGAAGGCTTCACTGAGCTATCCAGGTCAGTTTATAGGATTCTTTAGCGGAATTATTTTGTTCTCCACTCCAATCATCTATTCTATTGTTTAGCTATGAACTGTGAACTATGAACTATGACAGTGTAATTCTTCCCACCTGAGCAAAGAAAGAGGGCTGTCGTGTGTGTAATATTACACTACTTTCTCTCGTATGGAAATATATATGTAAATATGTAATATATGAGTGATTTGTCTTCATGTATGTTCACTCTACCTATTGTTCATATCTCTTATGTAATTTAGTCGGTTTCTCTAAGTGAATGAAATAAAAGCTAGAGGTGTCCTGAGATGTATTACTAATTTGCTACCATTAGTTTATGATTTTTTCTTATGGAAGTAGGAAAGTAAGGTCATGCTTGGTTTTCATATTTTTATTTTATTTTTGGATCCTCTTATTGGGCACTTACGTAATCGCGCATCGCGCGTATATTAACTAGTATTTGTTTATGTAAGTTGATGAGCATCAATCACATTTGGATACTGGATAGCATATTAGCATTCAAATAGCATTCATATTCGGTATCGTAATTTACGTTTACACGTTCATCACAAAGAAAGAAATATGGATGGTTTTACTTATATCACACCAGACCAAACTTATATACACCAGATCAGATCAAACTTATACAGACAAGACCAGCTCAGACGTAAACAGGCCAAACCAGACTTAAAAGGAATACTAACAAGTAGGGTTGTATACGAACCGAATCGAGTCAAATAATGAGATTTTGTATTTGTATTTGTTTAATTTTTTCGAATACGAATTCGAATTCAAAAATGAAACGATCATTAATTTTGATTTGTATGTGTATTTGTTTAACAATACGAATAGTTAACGAATCATATACGAATATCGAATCGATTTGAGCATAGGTTAAATATTAGTCACATATCACTTTAAAATAATTTTTTTATACTCCGTATTTTTTATGTTGTAAATGCATGCTATGACATAATATGTGTATTTAGATTTTAAATTTAATGAATCAATGTATTTTTAGATGGTGCACAATATACTAAAGTGAATTAATTTTATGATGATTAATAAATATAAATCTATTTCAAACATTTTGGAATAAACACTAACACACACATATTAGAAATTATACTTATAATGTGTGAAATAAGTTGATAATTATATATATCAAAGTCAACCAACTCTAATTTTATTCTTCAAATCAAATACATAATTATTTGTATTGTATTTGAAAGACATTTGAATCAAAAAATTGTTTTGTATTCGTATTTATATTCTGGGTTATTACAAATGGGATTGGAATCTGTATGCAAAAATGTTTATATGGGCCACACTGTGAGGATATTGTTTTTTTTATCATCAAAACAAACATCTATTCATATCAAAAGATTCAGGATCATTACATCAAGCAAAGGGAAAATAAAATTGACATCAACTGAAACTCCAACAACTACGACTGTAACCCTATGATGAGACTTTGAGACGGTCACCCCTAAAAGAGCAACATGAATCGCTAACCATGTAATGGGATTGACACAGCCAAACCTGTTCTCATAGATCCAACCATACCCAATGACATAAAGAGGCTAAAAACTCAAACAAATTGTCAAAACCAACAACAAAGATGAGAACAAGAAAACAAATGACAAACAGATAAAAATTACTAGGAAAACTTTCACGGACTCTAGCACCTCGTACAACCCATGGTGGTGGTTCAGGCGGAGGTCAGACCGTCGCTCGATTGATACCCTATTTCAGTGACATACCCGCAGTATAACTCAAATCCATGCCATCGAATGAAGCGTTCAACCTCTCCACGCTAACCATGTCCCGATCATCCCTACGTCTCTCTCTCGCTTCTTCCACCATCTTCTCGCTGTCACGATCATCCATCCCGAGCTATGTCCAAACCACGGCAATCTGGCACAGTGCTGCGTCGATTGAAAGAAACGCCACACCAGGGCGGCGAAGTAAAAACCCTATGCGAGAGATCTCACTAGAGAAACACTGACCGAATTTCGATCAAGAAAGATTGAAATCGGAAATACCTAGCGGCGGCTCTGCCCTAGGAGCTCTCTACGACACGTGCTACTATCGAACTATCCAGAGATTCCACTACTGAACCGATGGGTATTGCTATCTTTTAAAAGTTATTACAGTGTCATTACTATTATTATTAATTATTAATATTAGTAATATTGATATTAATATTACCATTATTATTAAACGAATATATTTGATTAATATTTGAATCGAAGACACTGATATTCTTATTTGTATTTGATAACAACTTGAATCAAATTTATATTCTTATTTGTATTTGTAATTGAATTTTCCAAATTCGAATCATCCTATACGAATTCGAATCGCAAATCAAACACAAATTATTTGATTCATTTAGAACACTACTAACAATAGATTAATAACGGGTGAATTACTTTGATGCTCTTGTATAAGAAAGAAATTTGTAGCTAACCCTTTATCCCCCTGGCCCTTTTCTTCAAAGAAATTTACCACTCTTCAAATGTACAAGACAAATACTTATTAATTACCTAAGTAGACTGGGAATTGAAGATAATCAAATACTACTATCAATCACATGTGGATAGCATTCAAATGTGAAATTGAATAATCAAATTGAATGTCAAAAAAGCCAGAACCACTTGTGCCCATCCAAACACGGTGTATGGATTGTTACTCGGACGATTCCCATGGGATCTGTGATATGGCTGTGCCAGAATGGCTCCGCCGCCGTAGCCGCTCGCTCTGCCTCCTCCGATGCCTTTGTTCGTATCGCCACCACTTCTTGCACCACGGCTACTCCCTCCACCCAGCGATCCACCTCCGCTACTGCCTCCACCACGTGACCCTCCCCCTCCGATGCTTATACCACCGCTACTGCCGCCGCCACGAAATCCTCCTCCGCCGGATAAAGGAGCGACCACAGACGATGCCAGAAGGCATGTTATCAATAACACAGGAATTGCCTTCCCAATCTGCCGTCGCCGCATTTCTCTGCTTCAACGAAACTGTGATACGGAAGGGAGTATATTTATGGGATGTCCCCGAAGGGATGTGACATTAGAATACATCGTTTTTTGTAGTTCTACGGTCCCACCTTTGTCCACGTGGAATGTAACAATTGAATTATTTAAATCTAAATTAAAAATAATAAAATGATGTGATCCAATCAAATGAATGGTAGGTACGGTACCCCGTTTTTTAAAAAAGTAACGCAGTTGTCACATTTTTTTTGTTGTTAAGACATTTTTTATGGAAAATTGTTGTAAAGATATCAAAAATTCAAAACACATCTTAATTGAGATAGAACTTACAAAAAACAAGGAAACACATATTTGTGCTTCATAAGAATAATTTATTTATTTCAAAAAAAATTTATTACTACGGGTATTTCGTTTTGACTTATTCCATCATTATACCAAAATGAAAAATATTGAATCCTTAGCTCCATAAAAAATTGTGTAATCATCCAAACAGAAGTTAATATAAAAAAAAATGCACCCCTTGTACGGAGTACTAAACGAAGAATCTTGATCTGCCCTGTAGGTGACAAATTAATTTTAAAAGCATCTGATCTTGATAAATATTCTTATTTGATTTCCTAATGTAAATAAAATAGAGGAATAATAATAGTACGGAGTAATTATTAAAACGAGCTTAGGATTTTTTAGTCCGAGAAGAGACCAGACTTTAATAGAGCAGTTCAAACCAAATCAGACTAGATTAGACTTCGATAGTTATAAAATACACCTTAATCACACATTTAAACATACTAGATCAAATTTAAACATACTAGACTAGACCACACTTAAAAAAGACTAAATCATACTATAGTAACAAATAAGATTACACCACAAAATTTGAGTTACGTTTTAGTAATGAGCAAACTCTTGTTCTCAGCGGTCTACACGTCACTTTCAATATATGAATCATTTGATTTTTTCCTAAGTAAAGATAGCCTAATAATTCATCAGTCCCAAATTGATTTGCAAAGTTAGTTTCTTTTGTCAACCAATTTCATAGGATTCACTTATTATGATATCAATTTTTAATTATATTCTAATTTGGATTTTGCACTTCTGTAGAGATTTTAAAGTAGTTTTTGGATATGTAACTTTTAATTATTAAAATTTTACTGCATATTTATTATCATTAAAGAAGAATTAACTTTAACCTTGTTTGACAAAAAATACTCCGGTTGTACTTTAGACCAATATATATGTGTGTTTGTGTGGGTATGACACTATAAGGGACATCAATTCATCGAATACAAGAGAACCAGGAGAGTGAGACATGAGTTGGTTTGGTCGATGCTCAGGTTCCCATGGATCCATTTTTATGGTTACTCTATGCAGCTATGCTGCTTCATCTTGGTGATCAGTCTACCATCTAGTACTTATTGTTCTCATGACTACTCTAAGTACCCTAATATTCTTACACTATAATTATATTTTCTAAAATAATACAAGTAACAAAGAATGTAAAATTTTGAAATGTATGGTTTTCCCAAAATAAGTACTAGTAGTATCTATTGTTATATGGCAGGGGCAATAATGTTATTAGTTATGTCATTGTATATTTGTATTGCTTTACTAATGTCTAATAATGCCCAAACATGATGTCATAATTATTTGTACTCAAAACAAGCATAATGCTCATATTTTGAAATTTAACTACTTTGAAAAATCTTAATTTCCCCCCTTTAATTGGTTTTATATTGAAAGGTTCAATTGTGAAAGCCCAAAGAAATGCCCTTTACCGACCTGATCCATGGAATTGTTCCTTCCTACAAAACCTCCATGTAGCACGAATGCGGAGTGCGTTGTCAATTGCGTGATGGAGAAGGGAAAACCATATGGGGTTTGCATTTCACGTGAGAATGGACCATGTCAATGTTGTTGTACGATTGATTGATTTATCTTGAGAGAAAACTTTCATATGCTATGCTTTTATCTTCTATTCTAGTATTGGATCTTTAAATTAGGGTATATCCTTTGGTTTTCGGCTTTTTGCTATTTATTCTCCTAAATACACTACATAAATACGTACTTCGAGGGATGATATTATTCATAAAGCAATGTTTAGTTTTAATCAAATCAAGTGACCATGTTACTTAGCTTTGGTTTAGTAGCTTGATTTGCCATTGATGTCATACAAATTAAAATTTTTAGTATGGAGATGAAAATGCCACTTGTGCCATTTGTAAGAGCATAAAAAATATTTTAATGCCTTTATTTTATTTCAAAATACACTTTCAAAGTGTCAATAATTTTTTAGAGTTCATTCTTTAAATAGGAATAAAATGAAGTTAAATTCCAAATAATATAAAGGGGGAAAGCATCTACTTATTTGATAATTGATGAATGGATCCGATAATATACACAGCAGCTAGGGAAATTGAATTGAAAGGACCCTACAACTTGGTGAGTAAGCAGGTCTTTAAGGCTTTCTAGTTTCTACACTTTTTTATGGTTGGCTTTCTACACTCCGTAAGAGACTACACGCATTGGAGAGGTTTTTAACTACATACTCCCTATTATCTAATTTTAATAGCGTTTGGTCGCGCAAGGCGCGATAGCTTATGCCCAATATTAAAATAATATTACCTCAAGGAAATAACAAATTTGCCAAAGTAAGAGATGCCATATTATGTGAGAATTTAATGGGGCATAGGGTAAGGAACAGATGAAGCCAAAGTAGTTTTTTAAAACAAATTATTATAGTTGTGTAGGCTACCTTTATATATAATTTTATATTTTTTAAAAGGAATTTCACAGGTTAAGAATTTAAACTTAATGATTTTCTAAAAGCAATAGTGTAAGAATAAATGAATTTCATTATATACTTGATACAAGGCTAAATATTTGGTGCAACTTAATTTGCAAAGTGACTTCTTTGTTAACCCAAGAGCATGAGGGACTAAATAAAATGGTTATAAGAACAGTAATGACTTATTACAATATTACACTATCTGTAAACATATGTATGTACAACTCTTATGCGATATAGACTATATCGTTGCCAGATGAGCTAACGTACATGCTCTCTAATCGCAGGAATCTCTTACCGCATGGTAAGATGTGTGTGTAAGTATCATAAATAATTCATATTTCTACTAATTATTCTATATGCAATCATACTCCTTGATGAAAACGGTTAGAGACACAAGAGGGGGTGAATTGTTTGTGTGTGGAACCGTGACAGTTTTTCGCCGAGTTCTAGTGTGGGATATAGGGAATTGTGAAATAGTAAAGTGCACAAGAATTTAACGAGGAAAAATCCCTTGGCTCAAAGGGATTAAAAAACCTCGACCTCCCTCGGAGGAATTTTAACAACTCCACTAAAAAGCCTTTGAATGATTACAAGGGAAACTCTCCTAGTCTACCCTTGAGCCACCCCAACTCTATCCTCTCTAGGAAGAGTTACGTCTCTAGCTCTACCTTGTGGGTAGAGAGCCTCCCAGCTTTACAACAAAGCTCTCACACACACAAACCAACCCGAGGAGGCTACTCTTAGCCAATCCTCAAAACCCCATTACAATATGAAGAAGGAAAATAAGAAACTATATCTAGAACTCCGAGTGAGCAGGTCAGACGCCTTGGACTTTGATATTTCTTTTGTGAATATGTCTCTTCAGATTTTTGTCTCGGTCAGGCTGCCCTTTCTCTTGTGTTTCTTCGATTATATAGGCTGTCTTGAATCCGTTGAAGCATTCTTCCTTTGAATAGATGATCTTCTAATCTTGGGACTTGCCTTGATATTTTGAATTGCTTGCCTTTCATAATATTTCTCATATCCAAGCTCAACATATTAGGTAGTCAACCAAAATATCAAGGTAGCAAATTAATCATGCATCACCTTACGTGAGGTTAATAAAGATTCCAAGCATTTCGAATTTATTTCCAAATAAGACAGGCTTCGGTCAAAAGCCTGGAAATTATCAAACAAGGGAGCAACGGCCATAATAAGTTTTCCTTTTCAAAAGGGAACTTTCCTCTTCTAGGATATTTCCAAAAGGTATTCAATTGACATGATCATTTTCAAATTATTAGCATGCTACGGTCATAAGTATTTAAAAGGGAAAATTCCTTTCCATAAAAGTTAATCGCATGCAAGTCAATTTAAATGATGCTACATGTATCTCACTAATGTCATAAAGGAGGGATTTATTTCCATAAAAATTAATCAATTTATGCATGCAAGTTAATTTACGTATATCATGCATACACCCTACTTTAAGCACATAGATGTAAGAACTTGGAATAGTTCTGTCCATGGTTTTTATAGAACCTGCATGGTTAGTGAACAACACAATAATAATGTCCATTTGGACCTAAGGATAATTCTGTCATTTGTTCCTTAAGGGCCTGTGAGCGGTTCTGTCCGTCGTTCCACCTGCATGGTTAGTCATCAACAAAACTACATACTCAACACTCCTAGCTTCCGAACCATAAATGATAACAATTAAATTATTGAAACACAAATTAAATAGAATTCATGCAATCAACCCGTAAACAAAGAAACTCTGGACAATAAGGATGTTTTTACTTGGACTGTAATTTGCCCCAGACCAGACCAAACCAGACCAGTCCAGACCAGACCAGACCAGTTCAGACCAGACCAGACCAGACCAGACTTGGATAGTTATAAAAATACAAAGAAACCAGACCTTACCAGACCAGACCAGACCAGTTCAGACCAGACCAGACCAGACCAGATCAGACCAGACCAGACCAGCAAATTACAGTCCAAGTAAAAACATCCTAAGAACACCCCAAATCTCTAAGTAAAGTTACTTAAAAGTCATCATTGAATAATCAATAGAATTGAGATCATAGAAGCTAAGAAAAGATTTACTTGTCATTATAAAAAAAGTTTAATACAGAGTAGAAGAATTATATTAGTAAGTTGTTTGCGAATGAATAAAATGTTGTATGTATGTATGTATGTTAATACGATTTATATACATACATTAACAATAATTAGTAACTTTATAAAAGCAATATGTTAATACGCAGTGGCGGAACCATCTCGGAGACCTTGGAGGGGCACTAATAGGAAAGCGAACATCTCCGGAAAATGTTGCATCC